ACTGTTGACCACTCCTAGCTACATTGTTTTTCCCTTCTCTTTGGACCATGATAAGTGCTTGTGTTGTGACTTCAGAGCTGGGTAACTTTGAAATTAAAGTGAAGAGACTACATGGAAAGGTAATGTGCATGTGTAATGTAAGAAGGTGTTCCATAGGTATGTTGCAGGCTTACTTTAACCTATTTGACTTAATGCTCCAAAATAACTGTAATTTAATGATAATTGTGTAGCAAATTATAATGAATAGCTTTACTTGTATGTTTAGAAAATTCATGTTCATGTGCTTATTCTGGGTATCAGAATTTAAGCAATTGCTAAAATGTATGAATGTCTTCTAAATACACTGATTACAATGCAAATAAATAAATAAATTGCTGGTTACAACTAACTTTTCACATTTTCTTTTGAGTGCTTTTAAAATCTGCCTCACTCCTCCTCACCGTTGCAGAGTTCTAGAGGGAGTTGCCATTAGGACTGGGTCACTAGGTTCACGCATTCTTCACCCAGGTACCTCCATGGAGGAAGACAGGGAAGAGAGTCAGAGTGGAGGAAAATTATTCCACTCTGACTCAGTACTTTCCCTAGCCATTTCCCTTCTCCCACACCTGGTGCCTGGGGTTCATGAGGCAAGCAGCCTATTTTAGATTCCACCAAAAAATGAGACTGCAGAGTGTCAACCACTCAGCCAAACCTACTCACTGAGCACAGCTTCCTCTCGCTTCCTGGCATTGCTGAAGACGGCAGGATTCCCTGATTTTAAGGCCATAAGCTATTCCACTGTGTCTATATACACTGTCACCAGATGGTACATTTCCTTATCTTGGCTATCATGACCAATGATCGAATGAACACGGAAGTATAGATATTTCTTCAAGATAGTGATTTAACTTTCTTTGGATACATACCCAGAAGTACAATTGGTGGGTTATGAGATCATTTCATTGTTTCTGTTTTGAGAAACTTCTCCAACTCCCATAATGGCCCTGCATACCATTTTCAGTGTACCAGGGACTTCACTACTCCACATCTCTGGCACACTTGCTGCACTATGTTCTTCTGATGACAGCTATTCCAAGAGGTATGAAGTAACCTCTCACTGTGATTTGACTTGCATTTCTCTGGTGATTAGTGATATTCAGCAATTTTTCATATATCTTTTAGAAACTCAAAAAAGCACAGAGTAGAATGATTGTTGCCAAAGCCATGAAGGAGAGATACTTGTCAAAGGACTGAAAGTGTTAGCTACACAAGATGAGTAAGTTCTAAAGATGCAAACATAGCATAGTGACCATGGTTGATGGTGCTATAGTGTACACTTCCAATTTTCTAAGAACAGATCATAAATGTTCTCACTACAAAAAAAAAAAAAAGAAGAAGAAAAAAGCAGGTCGCTTTGTGAGTTGATAGATACACTGAATAGTTTGATGCGATCAGTTCCAAATGCATTTGTGTGTCAAAATATTAAATTATGTACTTTAAATATCTAATTTTGTCAATTACAGCTCAAGAATGTTGGTATCCAAATAGCAATACTGGAGCCTTTTTGTTGAGTTCTTTGGCAGTGGAAGGATTTCTCCCACTTGTTATGCATCTATCTGAGCCTCAGCTCATGCTGTTTCTCAGTGAAGAATAAAATACTGATGAGCTGCTGTCTCTTCCTCCCCATGTCTGTGCTTTTGTGATACACAAATAAAGACTTAATTATTACTTTCAGTTTGGCTCATTCCAATTCTACCTCCACATCAACAACTCCTAATGTGGAAAGCCTGATATTAACAATTTGATTTAAGTAGAACTTGCTGATAATAATAAACACCAGAATGGGGAAAGAAGGGGTGTGGCTCAGTGGCACAGTGCCTGCCTGGCAAGCACAAGGTCCTGAGTTTGATTCCTGGTACCAAAAAAATGCAAAAAAAAATGGCTAAGAAATGACAGCTAACATTCACTGAAAGGCTAGCCATGCTGCTATCTCTTTTACAGTAGTTTTACTTACTTAACAACTAGAGCTCCCCAAATAAGTAGGTGTTGCTGCTCTACTAACTTCACAACCAAAGTACCTAAATTTGGGATGCTGGAGTCCTTGCCCATCTACATAGCTAATGCCAGTGAAAGCCTAAAGTTCAATGCAAGAGGCCTAAGTATGTACGTTTGACCAAGGAATTTTATAATTTTTCAGGGAGGTAAGTCAGACCAAAAGAAGATAATGGTGATACAACCACTAAGACTGACTATAATAATATGAATGGGAAAGGGGACTAAGCCCTGGAAAGACATAGAAGCAACAGAGACATACAAATCTGACACCCTACCTCCTAGGTTACCAATACGCTGCTAAGTAAACATGAGCCATTTCCACTTGTTCCCATGTGTGGAGGAAAGCAAGTGGTATTTTAAAGGATAAACAGAGACTCAGATCTTGAAAAAGTCTTTTTTTTTTTTTTTTTTTAATGCATGACCGGCTCCACCCACCCAGGGGGCAGAGCTGGCACAGCACGTGGTGCCGGGAATTAAACTGTGCACCCTGTGCTTTGCATAAGCTTGCCTAAGCAAGTGCTTTAGACCACAGAGCTATCTCACCATCCCCTTGGAAAGATCTTTTTTAAGACTGGTTCTTTTGTCTGTGCATCCATTCTGGTTTCTAGCAGGGGAAATGATAATAGGAAAAAACAACTGAAAAGCCAAAGAAAGGCCAAAGTGAAGACACTTTGTATGGCCAAAAATATAGGAAATGGGTCAGCACTGTATGGGAAGAAGATTCTTCTTTATCTAAGACAGGAAGGAAAAAAGGAGAACCATAAAATTTCAGGAAGAATTAGGGCCAGCAGAGATAGGTTTTTGACAGGTAACAAGGGACAGAGGGATGAAGGCATTCTCATTGGATGACCTCAGTCTAATCAGGAAAGTCAGGGATGAGGCCATGTGCTGAGAGAAAGAAGACTTGAGGTTGATTGGAAGGGACAGGACTGGATCAGCCACTCAGCTGATGCATTAGGGAGTGAACATGAAAGAAATAAAGGAATCGCTAAATGGCAGAGAAAGCAGCAGCATTGCTAGTTGGTCCAAAACTGCTACCTAAGACTTGAACAGATAAGGGGACTCGGGGTCCAGGCTTAGGAAATATCCTAGGTGGTCACAGGAAAGAGATAAAACTGAGAATTCCTAAGAAAGAAGTACCCTAATAACTCCTGGCCAGAGCATTCAGACAAAGCAGAGAGAGCAGTCCAGGTATCCCTACTGTGTCTTCCCAATAACATCCTATAATTTCCCATCACAGTTTGCTTACTTCTTATGTCTTCCCAACTTGGCTATAAATAGCTAGAGGAAAAGGGCTGCAACGCACCTATTCTTTCCTCTGTGTTTAGCAAACATTACAGCTCCTCCCTGCAGGTGGAAAAGAACTGCATGTAATTATTAGTTTGCACATGGAATATTGCACTGTATCTTCTGCCACTGAACCCAATCCAGTTCTGGTTGCTTTTTCTATCTGAGTTTTTCCCCTGAAGGATGCTCTCTCTGGTTCTTGCCACTTTTGCTTGTTTGGGTTCTGTCCTGGCCCTCTGCCTTTGTGTGGTGTACTTCTAATAATTTTTCAGATGAATATCTGATTCTAGAACCCTTCTCCTCTCTTCGTTACTGTTTCCAGATATTCCTGTCCCGTGTCATCACCTTTGCTCGCTGTTTCTGCAGCCACATTTATGCCTACACCACCAAGCAGCAGCAGCAACATCGCAGAGAGAAAAACTTGACCCCAGAACATCGACAGCATCTGAAGACAGAATAAACCAACCCAGGGTTAGAAAAGAAGAGTGAAGTCCCACAATCTGCCATCATACAGAGAACAGGAACAAAGGTCAGAAATATACCAAAGGCTAAGAAACAGAAGGCCAAGGAGAGAACAGAAAAGCACAGAGCTGAGGGCGCCTGCAGTACAACAAACTACAAAGAAGAAACCCGAACTGTGGAGCAGAGGCGGATTCGTCATGCAGAGAAAACAGCTCAGTTCTGGCATACGTGAGTTTTCAGAGGCGACGATACATCTGACACTTAAAAAGGGATATGCCTTCAATTATATTTATACCCATAGGTATGGTATGTTGTGATTATTTACCAGAGGAATGGTGGTTTCAGGGATGTTCTGTTTGGTTTAGAGCCAAGTCCACACATTGAGGAAGCATTTGTTGTACACTCACTCCTGTCAGCTCAGGAATATCCAAGCAATAAAAAGGTGTAGTCACAACTCTCAAGAAGTTTCGTTTTTCTCTGAGGAAGAGCAATGTGTGAATCTGGTAAAGGAGAAATGGAAATATACTCCTCCCTTGCAGAATCAAGAAGGATCTCCTGAGCAAGTGACAATGAAAACTGTCCTAACCTATGATCAGAGTTTGTTGGATGGGAGAGCTCTTCAAACACGGGAAGAAGTGTGTCTCAGAATATGCCACAGGGGAATTGCCCGGGCACATCAAGGACAGCTTAGAATGGTTGCTACACTGAATGGGCACCAGAGGATGACAGGAAACGAAGAAAGAACTGAAGCAGAAGGTGGATGTCTGGGCCTTGTCAGATACAGACAAAAAAGGCATTTAAAATTTCGTGTTGTAGGTGAGAAAAAAAATCCTTAAAAGGAAAATGAGCAGGAAATTTGCATTTGAGGAAATAAACGATTTGTGAAAAGCACTGCTTTTCCTATATTAATGGGGCAATGTGCACAACTATGGGCTTCTGCAGTGTTTCATATAACATAAACTGAGTTGATTTATGTATTTTAAGGAAATGCGGTAGTTAAGGAAGACTTTTGTGTCTTGAGTCTCTAGTGAAGTAATAGCACAAGGAGGCAGCAAGTTTCCTATCACAAGTGGATTGCAGTAGAAGTCGCCATTTCCTGTGTAAACCTCTCTAGAAAAAGTTGGAATGGGAAGGAGTAAAGACAAGCAATAAAGCCTGCTCGAATCAGACTATATGTCTTTTTACTTCTCCTCTAGCAATATCAGGGTGTTACATGCCTTACAGATGTTGTACACTTGGTTGTCTATTGCAATATCCAACATTAACTCTGACATCACTCTTTTCTGTGGGGAGAACCAGCTCAGCCCACAATAAGGGCAGCGCTGGCGTGGCATGGGGTGCTGGGGATCGTACCAAGGATCCGTGCACCTGCCTGCCTAAGCTTGCCTAAGCAGGCGCTTTAGACCACTGAGCTATCCCACTGGCCCCTTTGACATAATTCTTTAACAAAGTTCCCAGGCCTCAGTGATTGTATAGAAATACATTTATAAATTTTATCATTCAAAGAATTTCTCAGGCTGTACAGGCTCAGCTGTAAAGCCAAAAGCACAGAAAAGGAAAGTTCTTAAATTATTGATGAGATGGTTTCATCCTCTTTAAAATCTAGTGCCTGAAGTTAAGGATATTTTATCCTTCACTCCACACAGACATAAAGTCATTTCTATTCAAAAATTTTAAAACTGCCTTCACTGAAACAAGGTTATAACACGGTTGTGTCCTCTAACAAGAATGCTGTTCCTGTATTATCCTGAGTTTCATTTCTCTTTCTTGGGTCATTTTCCATGGAGACTGGCATCAAAAGTATGTTGATTTTATCATTTTTCATCCTATCGGTGACAAGTTCTCAGATTTGCATGTAGCTTATCAATGTTTGATGACATGTAATTATTCCTGCTACATTCTAATTATGGAAAGGTGCTCAAAGAGATGAAAATCTGCAAATAGTCTACTGTTTCTAAGTTCATTTCAGTCAAAGAAAAAGTATCTGACAAGCTGGTCTTTAATGTTTTTAATGAAATCAGCTCCTGAGACTCTGGAGATTAGTTCTTTAATATGTATATATTTCTTGTTTGAGACTTGTATCTAATTGTAGGGCATTAAAGAAATGCTTTTTAGATTTCATTACTCTTTCAAGTAGCAAGATAATACAGTTAATGCTTAATACTTTTACTCTGATTTTTTCCTCTTTTAAATTTTTTATAACTTCTTTGTTTTTGGTTTGTTTTGTTTTTTTTTTTTAAACAAATCTTACATGTTCACATCTGGTAATCTGAACAACTAATTTGAAGATAGCATCATGTAATACAGCGACCATTGTTGAATTCCTATTGCTTTGTTTAGTGAAAACTTGTATCATTTCTAATGTTTTTTATCACTATTTTATATTCTTTAAAAATAAAAAATAAAGAAATACTGACTTAATCAGCAGAGTGTCCTCAGACAAACACTGTGCAGTAGTTATTAACTAAGCCAAGCAAGAATGCAGTACAACCTGGATAGTTTTATTAATCACATTTTGTAAAGTTTCACTTATGAAAGTTCAACTCAGTAAATAAGCGTCAGTCTCATGGACAGCTCTTCCTTCATGGTCACTTGTCACCTGCCACAAGGAACTTTTCCTTGTGAAAAAGAAAATTCAGAAAAACTGTATAAACCATTGGTGGAAAATTTGGGATGCCCAGAATAAAAGCTGGTTATCACGAAATTCAGCCTCATACTTTATGCATTGTCTAGAAACTGCTTCCCAAGCCTAGAGCCTAGATGCTTATCAGATGCATATATATATATATCAGTGACACACACAAAGCCCTAGGTCCAGTCCCCAGAACCACAAAAGAAAATATGAGGACCAACCAGAAAGCTCAGCTCAGGGACCACATTTAATCCCCAGGGTGCCATGCTGGCCCCGCCTCCTGAGACTGGGCACGGTGGCAGTAATCCCAGCGCTTGGGAGGATGAAAACAGGAGGATCACTATGAGTCTAATCTGTGTAGTGAGACCCTGTAGCCCCTGTACTAAATACATGAAAAAGAAAAGAAAATATGGAGAGAGGGACAAGAGAAGAAAAGGAAGGTAAGTAAAAAGAATCACCATGTGTTATACACTGGTACCAAGTCCCCACAGTAAAAGCAGCCATTGCATGCAGCAGATTTGTACTAATAAACATTTAAAAAGTTAATACAAAATGATTGCTAGGCCTCACCTAATATCCAGAATCATTAAGCACAAATTCTTAAATCTGAAGGGAATTAATAGAGCAGACACACAGACTGGTGCTATGTCCAGGTTGAGGCTGAATTTCGTGATAACCAGCTTTTATTCTGGGAATCCCAAATTTTCCACCAATGGTTTATACAGTTTTTCTGAATTTTCTGTGCTAGAAAAAACATTTACTATAAAGTCTCTGCCTATTTCATTGCCTTGTATTTAAATTTCTCTAGAGCTTTTGTGTCACCCCCACGGGCCCAAATTGGTTTTCTCCACTAATAAACTTCAAACCCTGAAATAAACTCCAGCTTCTCAATGAGAACAATAATGCAAAACAAATCTTTTTTCCTCCGTACTTCACCATCTAGAAATTCCTTCATTTGCTTCCCAGCAAAACAGCCCCAATTCTGTGTAAAAATTCCTCATCTTCCTATGTGCAGTGTTTATAGCCTTTGTGTTTTTAAAATCAACCTTCATACTACAATTTATATACAATCAATTTACCCAATTTAAGTGTACTTTTTGATAACTTTTGACAAATATTTATACTTCTATAATCCCTTCTAGCAAATTATAGAACATTTCCTGAAATCCCCGAGGGCCCTATTCCACTTAATTTTCACAAGCTTCAGATTCAGGATGCTTTAATTTTCTTTCTGTCACTGCAATTTATGTGACTCTTTCCCTGAGAGTCATGAAAATGGAATCATTCCACAGGTTTGATTTTTTGTATAGCTTCTCTTACTCAGTATAAGCTTGTTGGTAAGGTTTCTCTGGAGAAAAAATGAACAGAGCGTATTGTGTATGTAAGTGTGTGTGTGTGTGTGTGTGTGTGTGTGTGTGTGTGTGTGTGTTTGTAAGACTTGAAAGTCTCAAATTTGCAGGTGGTCCAGCAAGATGGAGACCTGGGGAAGAGTGATTTCATAGCTCACATCCAAAGGCCGTCTGCTGGAACACCTTTCCCCCTTGAAATGTGTCAAGGCCTTCTACTGATTGGATGAGGCCCACTCCCATTAAGGAAAGAAATCTGCTTCAATCTCATCCAAAATACACCCTCATAAAAATATCCAAAGCAATATTTTAAGTGTTTTTAAACTCTGATTCATGGCCCAGAAAATTTTATAGTAATATCACTATAATGTCTCTGAAATTTATCTACATCATACAGTATTCAGTAGGTTGTTTCCTTACATTATTGAATAATTTTCTACCTATTTTCTTATAGATTGAAGTCTGAATATTTCCAGTACAGAGTATTTATGAATGAAGCTGATATGAGCACGTGTGTGTGTGTGTGTGTGATAAAATATATATAGTGAAAATGTTTACATAAAAGTACTTGTGAAAATACATGTTTTCATTTCTCTTGCATAAATACATATAAGTAAGATTGTGGGCTCATATGGTAAGCATATATGTAAGAAAAATTTAAACCCTTTGTTATTTACTATTTTAAATTTCAAAACCAGTGTAGACCCAACTATCAGCCTTCTCAGTATCTTTCTATAGAGTTGAAGACCTCATGTTTCAGTGATACATGTATGTGCATGTTTATAGTAGCACAATTCATGGTAGCTAGATCTTGGGAGGAGTCTGTATGTCCACTGAGAGATTAATGGATAAAGAAAATGTAGTATTTGCATGCAATGGAGTAACACTCTGCCATAAAGAAGGACAAATAAAAGGGATACACCTTCAGGCCGTAAATGTAAGTGAAACAAATCAGATACACAAACTTAAATATCACATAGTCTCTCCTGTATGAGAAACCCAAATTATAAAGAATGAAAA